ATAAACACATCAGTGACTCAGAGTGTTCAATTCATGGAAGAGCTTTGCATTATAAGCAGTAGAAGTCATCAGTGTTTACAAATTCGCGCTTACCCTCTAAAGTGCTTGACAGAATGAAAACTGAACAAACTACATGGATTTAAGCATTCTACTAGATTGGCAGATAGGTCCCACCCATTTACTGTGGAAACAGTTAAATGAAACCAACATTTCTACTCCAACAGTTTCTTTCTTTACACTTCCCAACTTACATTTACTTGCTTCTCTGATAACTACAAAATTCAAAAATTTAAATTGCTATCTTCTATCTTCTTGAATCTCATTTGTCTTTTGTCCTTTCCTCAATCCTCACTATACTCAGTCTTTTCTCTCACTTTCACTCCCTGTAACCCCCCGTGTACTAGTGGCATTCCTGCCTTGCTTGTTAATATATTGCAGAGTATATATATATATATATATATATATATATATATATATATATACACTGTCAGAGATTATGTCTAATATACTGCAGTCCTGAGAAGAGGAGGAGGCATGGTGGAGTAACGGATATAGGCTTGGATTGACGAATTGGAGAGCTGAGTTTGAATTCCATTTGAATCCATTACATTCACTTATGTGCTAATAACAGTTGGGAAAGGTATGAATCCTCTTCTCTCCCCTCCCCACCCAGCTATGGGTAAATATTAGGACAGACTGGGTTCTATAGCCTTGGATGGCAACTGGTCTACCCCAGAAAGAAAGAAATGGCAACCTACTGTGGGAAAAAAATCTGCCTTGTCAGATCGAAAGATACATGATCGTCTAAGTGTGTATCACGCATGTCACATAACTAACTGAATGGATAGCGGCTCAGATTGAAGAATCGGAGAGCTGAGTTCGAATTCCAGTTGAATCCATTACATTCACTTAGACTTGGTTCTATAGCCCTGGATGGCAACTAGCCTAGAAGAAGGACAGCTCTGAATTCAAAACAGAGGGTCGTTTGGGGGCCTTGTGGCACATACTCAAATCTCAATGCTGGTGTTGGGCTGTCGGTTCCTAGGAATTGAGCTGCTTGACTCTAAGATGTTGAATACGATGGGAGAGTTGAATATATACTGTCAGAAATTATGTCTAATATACTGCAGTCCTGAGATGAAGAGAAGCGATTAAGGAAAAAGAAATAGCTAACAAAGTGGAATAATGAAAGACATGAAAGAGTTGTTTGGGGAATCAAGAGACAATTCTTTCATCATCAAAAGATTATCCCAGATGTAAACACCAAGGACATACATCTGAATGCTGGAATCATTCAAGCCAAGAGGAAGATAGCCTGGAACAGAGAACTCATTGGTAGCAATGGAAGAATTTAAATTGGTTTCACAAAGTGCAAAGATATCTACCTCTGTTAACAACAGAAAGTAGATTGTTTTTGAGATCAGCTGCCAATTTCACCTTATCAAACCACTTGCTATTAAGACAAGAATAAATGGATTTGTCATCAGCATAGTTACCAAGTTGAGAACTGATGCCATCAGTAAAGGTTGTTAGTAAAAAGTAGGAACAATGTGGGTCCAAGTACAGAGCCTTGGGAGATGCCTGTGTTAATGCAAAAAGATCTTGAAGAGTGGCCATTCAGGATGACTTTCATTTTGTAATTTGATAAGACAGATGGAATCAGTTCAAAAATTTATCTAGAAATACCATAACTTTTCAACTTGTGAATAAGACCAATATGCGAAACTATGTCAGATGCCTTTGAGATATGCAAAGCAATAACCCAAGCTTCACCATTCTTATCTAAAGCTTGACAGACTCTTTCAACAATAACAATTATCACATCAGCAGTTGACCTGGAGAAGCAAAAGTCATATTTGTTATCTGAAAGAAGATCCTTAATCAATTCAGAGTTGTTTAGAGCCTCTCGTACTTTGCTAAATAGAGGTCGAAGGCTAATAGGTCAATAGTTGGAAGGATCAGATTTTATTTTTTTACAGATAAGAACAGAAGAGAATTTTCAACAAGAAAGGAAAGCAAGCAGCAGCGAGGCAGTTATTATATGGTTTAGAGAGAAGAGGATTTTGTTAATTTTCAAGGAACCTATGTTGCATTGTTTGATGTTATAAATTTGTTGACATATTTTTTAGAACATTTGGATAATTTTTATGTACTTTATGTCCAAAAAAGAAAACATTTATACAAATACAAAAAAAATTAAATGAAAAGATTAATTGCACTTATCAGTTGTCTTTTATGAAACTTGTATAAAAGAGGGATTGCTGCCCAAATACACAATATATAATAATAATAATAATAATAATCGACTCTCCCGTCGAGATTCGATGTATGAGGGTCAAGCAGATCAGTTTCCAGGAAACCGACAGCCCGACACCAGCACATGAGATTTGATTATAGTGGTGAAGGCTTCGTGTAGGACCATCCACACTTTTTGAAGGGATGAATACAGAGACCAGGTGCACCGAATGCCACAAGGTTCCCAAACAATCCTCCGCAGGTTTTGAATTCAGAGTTGTCCTTCTCCTAGACCAGTTGCCATCAAAGGCTATAGAACCCAGTCTGTCCTGCTATTTTACCCATATCTGGAGGGAGAGGAAGAGGATGAATGCAATGGATTCGAGTGGAATTCGAACTCGGCTCTGCAAATCCTCAATCCAAGCCACTATCCATTACTCCACCGTGCCTCCTCTACACAATATATATATATATATATATATATATATATATATATATATATATATATAGAGAGAGAGAGAGAGAGAGATTTAGTAAACAAGAATTCATTTTAAAAGGTTTTGTTAAATTTTCCTTTTTTTTCTTTTCTTCCTTCCATTACATTGATTTTTTTTTTCTTGTTTGACTTTGCCATCTCCAATTTGTAATTTGCATGTTGGGCTGTCCCTTTTGCTGACAACCATACATTCTGTCTTCTTGCATTTGATGCTTAGTACTTTCTTCTTACTTTCTTTTTCTACTTTCTGTAGGAATTCCTATAGTTTCATTTCCATATCTGCTATCAACACTGTATCATCTGAATATGTTGTTAAGATTGTGGCTGCTAATAATGAATCCTGGTAAGATTTTGAGGACCGACAACTAGGTGTCATTATGAGTTACTGTTGACCAGGAGCGACTTGTGGGGTTACACTTGGAGCAATCAACCTGTATACATATTGAAAATGAATTCAGTAAATATTCAAAAATAAAAATGGGTGTAAGACAAGGAAATATCTTCCCAAGTTGTTCAACCTTTACAGTGAAGCAATCCTGAGAGAATTAGAGTTCCTTCAGACCACCATGGTCACCATTTAGCTGATTCTTCAGTCATTAGCACATGACTCATTGTTCCTGGTATCGTGACGGTATGCATGATTCCAATCAACCTAGCTGGTGTTTGTCTGTTCACGAACATTCACTCCTCTGTCACATTGTGTTTTTGATCTGAGGGTGAAAAGATCGCTTGATGAAGCAAACTGAAGGGAAGACGATCCAACAATTTTAGAACTACGCAAAAAAAAACAAAAAAAAACAGGAACCTTTGAAATAAAGAATTATCTTTGGTTAAAAACGTAACACAGATTTGAATTATATATGATTTGTTGTATACATATATGGTGATCTTAACCATTCCCATTTGTTATAATCAAATAAAACCGGGATCCCTTTCAGAGTCTGCAGCTTGTTTTAGTAGTAACTTAAATTTCTAAGTTCTGCTCTTCAGGTCTGGCACAAGGTCTTAGTCAAGAGGTCCCAAAAACAATAGTAGTAGTGTGCAGACTCTCTGTGTGTGTATCTATCTCTCTGTCTCTTGTATCTCTTGAGTCCAAAATCTCCAGCTTTGGAATCCTGCATCCGGCAAGAGTGGGGTTGACTAGGGTCTGGGTTTGTTTCTCTCATACCCTAAGCAACAACCTTTTCTAAATTTACAAGTGGTTTGGGAGGTTGTCCAGCTCCAATTTGAGAGTGTTCAGACGGCTCAAGCCACCCACTTAATTACAACTCACTTTACGCCTCACCTCATACCATAGCTCCATATAGGCAGTGCTAATCTTTTTTTTTCCTTCTCCCACTTTCTCAGCAGCCAACCTCAGACCACTTCCTAGGCTGGAGTGACAAATCCAACTTGCAGATGGCACAGTGAAAATAAAAGTGATTTTCAGTCATTAATACTTATCTATCAGGTCACCCCATGATCTCGATTGACCAGACAGCTCAAGAACTGGGAAAGAAAAATCTATTTCCACTCTCCTTAAAATAAAAGTTTGATTTTTCTCTTTCTTATTTTTTTTTTTTTTTTTTTTGCAATTGCACAGACCACCTGCCTTCTTGTCCATGGCCACTTCAAAATAGTAATTAATTTTTCCTTACCACTTGTATCCAAAGGAATCAAAATTAATGTTTGGATATAAAATTTTTTCTGGATGAATGTAACAGAAATTATAATGCACCAGGTGTCCCTATCTCTGTAGGGTACATCTGCATGGCCGCTTCAAAACAGTTGTTTTTTTCAGCCTTTTTTCTCTAGAGGAATCATGAATGTTATTTATTTCGGTGACCGCCTGAATTTCTTTATCAACAATCTTGGTTTTGTTCAATCATAATGAATTCCATCTATTTAAATTTGGGTTTGATTCTCCCTGGAATTATCTCAAAACATGATTTTTCAATGCATTTTGTTTTTAAATTTCTTGTCAACTTTTCAATCCATTTTCCTGCGAATTTCAACAATTACCATCCTGTTAGACCCTTTCTGCTTCATTTTTTCTTTCTTTCCCCTTTTTGCTTGATCAACCTTCAGCGATCTCAGTTTCGCTCAAGTATAAATTCTGGATACTTCTAAAATTCTTCCCAAATAAATCAAGCTTACCAAGCATTTCCAAAAATTCTTTGTTAGATACTTTATCAAATGCTTTGTATGATCTAAAAAACATGTGTATATCCTTCTACATTTGTATTGCTGTATCTGATATCATTCTGAGCATGAATATCACATTCCTTACATGTTTCTTTCTTCCCTTTCTTTGCTTTTTCTACTCCTTCTTTTTTTTTCTCTTACGCACTCATTTTTACTCTTTCCTTTCTTCCCCCACATTTTCTTTTCTTTCCTTTCTGCCATTATTTTCCTATTTTACTTTTTTCTTTCTTCTCTTTTCCCCTTTTTTGCTCCTTCCTTTCACCTTTCCTTTTTTTGCTCCTTCCTTTCAACTTTCCTTTTTTTTGCTCCTTCCTTTCTTCTTTCTTTTCTTCCTTTTTTTGTTCCTTCCTTTCACCTTTCCTTTTTTTTGCTCCTCCCTTTCATCTTTCCCTTTTTTGCTCCTACCCTTCTTCATTTTATTTTTTGCTCCTTCCTTTCTTCTTTCTTCCTTTTTTTTGTTCCTTCCTTTCACCTTTTCTTTTTTTTCCTTTTTCTTTTCTTCCTTTTTATGTTCTTTCTTTTCTTCCTTTTTTTTTGCTCCTTCCTTTCATCTTTCCCTTTTTTGCTCCTACCCTTCTTCATTTCATTTTTTGCTCCTTCCTTTCTTCTTTTTTTTCTTCCTTTTTTTACTTTCTTTTTTTCCTTTTCTACTTTCTTCTTTTTCCCTTATTGTTTTTACTTTTCTCTTTTTCCTTTACTTTTCTTTCCTCCTCTTTTTTCATTATATATTTTTCTTCCTTTTTTTTTCCTTCTCATCTTTTTTCCATCTTCTTTTCCTCTCTTTCTCTTTTCTATCAGCTTATTTTTCTTTTATCTTTTTCATCACTTCATTTTGCCTTGACACGTCTCTTTTTCCACTTCCTCTTTCTTTAATATCTTTTCTTCTGATTCCTATCATCGCATCAAGAATAGGGAATGTCTTTAAATACTTCTGCCCAATTTCTTTTTGGATTATAGAACATTTCAAAGATTTTATTTTATTACTTTCTCCAAACTATCATTAGTTCTAGCATGAATACGATAAAAGAAATTTCATCAAACATTTTATTTTTGGCTTTTTTTTTTTTCTTTAGCTTCAGCAAATTTAGCTTCGGTGAAGAAAAATCTCTTTTATATGCCAACATTCTGGCATGGAGTAAAGGCTATTGACTGTTCACACATGTTTTTAATCATGGATGTTTTTGTGAAATATAAGGCTAGAAATTGGTTCTACAGAAAGATGCTGAGGATATCATGGACCAAATATGTCAGCAATGTCAAAAGAAACTTATAATTAACATCAGGAAGAGACAGTTGAAATTTCTAGGGCACATAATGAGGAAAGAGGGTTTGAAAAATTGAATACTCACAGGACATTCAAGGCAAGAGGAAAACAATGGCTAACCTAACTAGGAAGCTTGAGAAGATGAAATTGTGGAGAGCCTTGATCTCCTAAGTCATGAGAGGACACAGCACATAAAGAAAAAGAATATTATTGGGAGTGTGAGTGGTATTACAGTTAACAACAATGAAAATGGAACCAGCAGGCTGAGTTCAAATTCTGATTGAGGCAGTGTTTTTTTTATTTTTTTTTAATTTCACTCAAAACAAGGCAATAAAGCCACTAAGGCGGGTACTGATTGTGAAAGTATATGACAAAAAGAAAACTTTAAGGAGAGAGAACAATAAAAGAACAGGAATTAAACAGACAAAAGATAGCAATTGACATTGCATTTTGAAGATTTTGAAGAAGAAGCAGAAAAGTTCCACAAGTGGAAAGAGAAGAAACAAGAAGAACGTATGATTAAATCTAACCATTTCAAGAAAAGAAGACCTTCTTTAATCAATACTTAAATTTGAAAGTCAAGCGAGAAGAGAAAAGAAGAAACAATTTGAGAAGCTATGTTATGGTGAACGTGTGATGGCATTAAATCTCTCCACAACCATTTCAAGTGAGGGAGAGAAGATTAAACGATGAGACCTTTCATCTTTAATGGAAAGACAGAAAATATAAATTTAATATAAGAGCAGAAGATGTAAAAATCTACTTAGAGAGAAAATAGAGAGAGAGAAAGAAACAGAAAGAGAGGGAGAGAGGGAGAGAAGATTATAGGGAGATAGAGAACTATTCAGTGAGTAAGAGATGGAAAGAGAGAGAGACAGAAAATATGAGAATAGTATTTATTAGAAAGAAGATGTAAAAATCTACTTAGAGAAAAATAGAGAGAGAGAAAGAAACAGAAAGAGAGGGAGAGAGGGAGAGAAGATTATAGGGAGATAGAGAACTATTCAGTGAGTAAGAGATGGAAAGAGAGAGAGACAGAAAATATGGAGAGATAGTATAATATATTACGAGAGCAGAAGATGTAAAAATCTACTTAGAGAGAAAATAGAGAGAGAGAAAGAAACAGAAAGAGAGGGAGAGAGGGAGAGAAGATTATAGGGAGATAGAGAACTATTCAGTGACAGAAAATATGGAGAGATAGAGGAAGAAAAAAAGGAGGAGAGAGAGGAGAGATTATAGGGAGATAGAGAACTTCATTCAGAAAATATGGAGAGATAGTAGAGATGGAAAAAATCTACTTAGAGAGAAAATAGAGAGAGAGAAAGAAACAGAAAAGAGAGGGAGAGATTATAGGGAGATATATTCAGTGATAAGAGATGGAAAGAGCAGAAGATGTAAAAATCTACTTAGAGAGAAAATAGAGAGAGAGAAAGAAACAGAAAGAGGAGGGAGGGAGGGAGGGAGGGAGGGAGAAGATTATAGGGATATAGAGAACTATTCAGTGAATAAGACAGAAAATGGAAAGAGAGAGAGAAGAT